GGAAATATAGGTTTGGAAAATTCAATTACTTGGTGTGGTCATCCTAACCTACTGGATAACGCAAGCCACGGAGCGACGCGTTACAGTTTCTGGAAAATAGTGGTGAGTCAACCCTCCCAGTTGAAGCCAACCAAGCTCCTACGCCTCACAGCTACTGGACAAAGAACTACAGGCTGATCGTGCTAACCAATCAGAAGTTGTGCGGTCCAGACAGAAGCTGTATGAGACCAAGAATGCAAGCAGGCGATTGGTGGATTACTGTGTAATCAATAAACTTCCTTCATGCATGTTATTTAAACTCCTTGATTTCTTCCAATAAATGGACAGCTTTTTTCTTGTATCTCGATGACGGGAGATACCAGCGGGCAAGTGCTAGTGCGATTCAGCGTTCAAGTTGCGTCCGTGTTTTGTGATTCGGGATTCATAATTCGTGATTTGTGCCTACTTCAACCACTAAATTAGGTTAAATAAAATGGGACACAAACTAGAACTATGTGGAATGTAAAAACAGATCCGTAAAACTAAACGTACGGATAGATCAATATCAATGTGACCAAGCAAAAAGTAAAACATTTCCGAAACAAATTTTCAATGTAAGTAAATTAAATGAGGTCCCACCGAATTGAGGGAAGCGGTTCTATCGGAATACCAAGATAATATGGCCATGTCGCAAACGAGCGCTGGTACAAACGCAGAATGAGACCACGTCATAAAACGTCATATTGCGAGTAAACCTGTAGAGCCAAAAAGAGAAAGCATCAGAGCGTGAGAAAGTGTGCGAAAAGTGAAAATAAACACACGGTGACCCAGATGTGGTAAAATAATGAGATGCACAAGAGGATTGATACATTGTAATGGTTGAAGTAGGAGCAGATCACGGGTCACGAACCACATTTTAGGAATCACGGACTCCACGGAAGCACTGAGTCACAAGGGTGCTAGCATGACAGCATCCCACGTAAATGAGACGCGACGCCAAGGCAGTAGAAGTAGCAGTTCATTTGTTGAAAGAAATTATGGGGTTTAAATAAAACGTACAAAACAAGTTCATTGGTCATCCAAGCGTCTGCCAATCGCTTGACAGCATTCATGGCGTTGTTCAGCTGCTATCTGGGACGCACGGCTTCTGATTAGTTGGTACAGTCGGCCGATGGTTCGTACTCTAGAGGCTGAAACGCGTTAGCGCTTTGCTGGCGTCACCTGGGAAACTTGACTCACCACATTTATCCGAAAACTGTAACATGTCGCCCCGTGGTCTGCGTCATCTCGTAAGCTAGGATCAGCACATACATGCAAACGGAAAGGTGGTGTAACGCACACGTACCCCGGGCTTTTGCAGCGTAGCGGAGTGAACAGAGGTGCGCGACAAGATATTCTCGAGACTATAACAGGCTTTGCGGGAGACGGACGACAGCGGGGATTGACGACAGGGCACCGATACGACCGGGACTATTATTGGTGAGGAAACACTGATAGACAGGTCCACCGTGGGTCGGGGTTAAAGATAAATTTGCGAAGCAAAGAAAATAAAACACCATGAACCAAAAAGGTTCAGTGAGAAACAAACACTCACGATAAAATATTACTGTCGATGTTCCCAAGCGTTACAGAAGTTGGTGTCACTACATAGGCTTGTTCATATGTTATTATTTTGATAAAGCGGTTAGTGGGTAGATTGACAGCTGGAGGGCTTCGACCAGGTATTACAAAATGTCCTTGTTCTACCAGCTTCAATCTAATCGATGGTAATCAGTATATTCCTTTGAAGCTGTCTTCGTCAATCTGATACCCTGTTTCTGCGAGATGCGCAGGGAATGCGCTTTTTGCTGTTTTTTTAATGCATCCAGTGCTAACCCCGGCCGGTTCTCTGATTCCTTTTGACAACCGTCTTGTGGTCCTACCCACGACCCGCAGCACCGTTGAGATTCGGGTGTAATATTGACCTACTGGGAAACGGTGCCCGTAGGTTTGTGGTTTGTTAAGTTCCGGCAACCGCTTTTTTAGTCGTTGTCTTAGTATCTGTCTGCTTGCATCGCCTTCAAAAGGTACTATTAAGAGCAACTCTTTTCACTACGTTATCATTGTTTCTGTGCAGGCTGTCTTTCTTTGATGTTCTTCTCAAAGGCCAGTTCAGAGTATCCGTTGTTTTGGAGGGTGTGTTTGATTTTCCGAATATGTTCCTCTATTGTTTCAAGGGAGCAGATTCTGTAGGCTCTGGATGCCAAGCATCTTGTAAGATTCCTCTTGTACCTGACTCGAGAACAAAACTGAGCAAGTCTATGTATTAGGCGTTCCAAGTCGGTTTGTTTTACATAGAACGATATATTTTCTTGTCTATCTCCGTCATCTCTGTGTCGCTTCAAAAGGATAAAAATGTCTATAGCACAGAATGGCGGAATCTGTTGTATGGTGTCTGGTAGTTGGAGATATTTTAGTTTACAGACGAATAGGTCTGCAAGCAGTTGGTCCATCTCGTGTCCACTGTTGAACAGATATTGAAGGATTGGAACTGTTCCAGCTTCTCACCGATCCGTTTTGAAGAGAGATCGAACAATCTTCATCTATTCCCTTGGTCCGAAACCTCGCTGTATTTCCCATATACCGGGCAATACAAGTGCAAGTAAACTGAGACTGATGAGGCAGTTAATCCTTCAGGCAATTGAACAACGAATGGTTTGGTGTTCGATCAGTTTTGAATGTGTTGCAGAAAAACAGTTAGCAAGCGCTTTGCTCACTGATGTTCCGGTATTGCCAATACCCTGACCACCTTGAATGGAACGTTATTAAACACGTTTTCTAACTAGTTGTGCTTGACTTCCAATATTCTGAGTGTCATTGAATCAACTGCTATGGGTATGCATTTCTCTGCAGGATGTCTCTGATATGGTTCTTCTCGTCATTCAGAGTTCCTGGACTAGGAATTCTGCTCACCCGATAGGCTAAACGCTTCACCGAATTCCGTTTGTTTCTCCATGGAACGAAACTAAGGTACGCTCGATAGGTGGGAGTGGGGACGTTCCTCATTTCCAACAAAGTCCAGGGCAGACAAAAACGTGTGAAATTTGCCGGGAACCATTAACTGGCATCCATCCGACTTGTAACCCTCACCAGTCGACGTCTTTTTGATTGTCGCTACTCCATTTCCGTTCATAGAATTTTCAGATTTGATTAATTGTTCAGAATCAGAACGTCTGTCCAAGTTCACCTTTGTGCACAATCCTCCATTCATCCAGTCAATCATACCCCCGGGAAAGCAATATAGACTCGAGTTTCTTATTGAAGCTCATCAGCAGTAGTGTGCATATTCACCATCCCGTCCGAGATTGCAACTCCGGACCCATCGGGCATAGAAGGTGTGTTTCTTATCACAGTGTCATACAGCCCTCATGCCAGAGCTGACCCGAATTGCCAATTCATGTTTCTTCAGGTATCGTCAGTCAGTTCAATCTGACCCGATAGCCCGGTGGGTCCGGAGTTCAAATCCCGGACGGGATAGTGGATATGCAGTACTGTTGATGAGCTCTAATAAGAGCAAAAATCTAGTTTTAAGTGCTTCCTAGTGTATGTTTGACTGGAAGAACTGAGGAATGTACGTGACGGTGAAGTCTGCAGGATGGTCAGTTCTAATCAATTAATCAATATCGACTATCGTAAAACACTACTCACAAGTAGTTATGATTCAAATGCGAATTTTTCAGCTTTCCTTATCGGTTTAAGGTCCTTAATAATGTTCATCTGTTTTACGTTGCTCTGCCCAGGAGCAACGCGGCTGAATTTCAATCTTTTATCCAGTGTGTTTATTTTGTAAAAAACGCCCTCCACCTTTCTGATCCCTGTTAAAACGACAAACTGGAGGTGTTTTAGTGCAGAACCGGTATCGCGAATCACATTAGCACCAGTTATTACATTGAACCTTTAGTGCTTCCACAATATTTCACAATAAGTGTTCAATAAACAAGTAAATCATCAATGTACGGTTTTTTTGGTCGTGAGTATACAACTCCTGATAGTAGGACCCTAAAAGTGACAGATTACACTATGCTCAACCAAACAACTGCATCGTGTGAATAAGCCAGGTTCGTTGACTCGAGTTCAGTCACAATACTTGATTCAGTCGGGCAATTGCTGTCAATCAAATCGGACATTCTTGCCATGAGGGATGCCTTGTGCTTTTCCATCAGGTTCGTGGAATCTTGGTAGATATGCTCATTGTTCTCAGGGTTAGTGGGGTTCTCAACCTCGCAAGGAATTTTGTGAAGTTAAATGACCGCGAAGCCGAGCAACTCAACGGTAAACATTTTATCCACAGTTCAGACAATATGATTGCTATCAGTCTAAATATCCTTCGAGCAGTCGGATAATCTCTAACTTGATTCACTTAACTTCACGGATAAGTACCCAGTCTATGTAAAGTAATTTTACCCACATCACTGCGAATACTATCTAGTTTAATTTGAATGAGGGCCATGTGACATGCCTGTAACAGTTGTGTCCATCCTACCGGTCCAACGGTAGGATTGTCGCTTCAGTCATATATGTATTTAATGTATTTGATTCCGTTTGTTCAAATTAAAAATGGTATTAACAAAGATCGTCAAAAATAGCCATACTACTCGATCATCTTATTCCGGTATTCTCCAATTCCGTTTTGTGCACACAATAGGTTCGTCTGCAAATGGCAAACTCGTGGGCGGCACAGTCGGACGTGGAAGTATTCGATTGCGTGGTATTCGTGGATGGTTTGGAAAACGACGCGTATCCCCTGTAAATTCCACTGGGGAGACAAACATCTCGAATCGAACCAGTCTATTGTCCAACGAATTGAGCCCCGCTCCTCGTAGGCCTTCTTTGATTGCTGTTCCATTTCTAACTCGGTCACCCCTGGCAGAAAAAGCTCATCGGGTGGCCGCCGAAGCGAATACGAACACCGGACAAACCAGAAATCCATTCGCATCTTTATATCGTCGTTTCAGTGTACGTTCTAGTGATATTCCTTCACCGAAAACACCCTGTAAGTTACCAGTTCCCGTACAAGCCAATTTTCGGCTGTCCCTTTTGTGCTGTCTGAGCGTTGCGGTGAATATCATTTTTACGGTCTCGGTTAATTTAGTTCAATCAAGCTTTTCGTATTTTGTAAACAATAGAGGTATTTGGAAGGCAAAGAAAACCTGCATGGTTGATCTACGCATTGTGTACGTAACTAAAAAGGTAATCCGGACTTGAATCATGAAGATAGATGGCATACTGATTGTTAGCACCTAAGGGAATGAACTACGGTTCGGTCACAATGACTATGAAAACTTGTTGCAAACCGCATTCAGTCAAGCTATAAAAATATCATCATCATCAACAACAACAACAACCTTGATATATATGTATTTATGTATGTCTATATGTATATTCTGTAACCTACACGGTAACTTGTACATTTGTCGCGCTTGCCTGTGGCCAGATTAATTGTTTGATCGATTGACTGACAAATGCTGTCAGCTAGCACACACGCATGCACTCACGTCATGCGAACTGACTCTGCTAAATTAACGATCGACTCCAGCCAATCAGATATCAGTATTGGTCTGTTCCCAACCTGAGTGATTGGTTGACTATTTGAATACCGTCTTGGCCGCATTTGGCTGTCCAGAGACGCGTAAGTCAGTTGTTGGCCTGCCTGTCTGCCTTCCTACGTGTTGCCCGCTTCTGCTCGCTCACCGGTCTACGTGTGTGCGCTCTAAAATAACCGTACTCTNACAACACACGGATTTTGAGTTCCTTTGAAAATTTGAAATACTGGGTCCCCTTTATCCATCGTATCAAGACCGAAAAAAAGACATATGTCACGAGATGGTAACATTTCGTTTAAACTTCTCAATCGCTGACGTAAAACAAACAAGCAGATTTATAGAACATTGGATTTGTAAATTCTAGTGAATGGACATGTACTGTTAGACAGGAGTTATTAGAATTGAAAAATAGGTCAATTTCATGATAAGTGAATTGATTAGATCAACAACTTGGGTGCAAAAAACGGGACTATGTAATCTGATTAACAATGCCTCACTTATTGCCAACAGTTTTGCATTGCATTTACGTAACAGCGATTTGAAAGAGGAAGCGGGATCAATTATGTGTTTGGTTCTCATGAGGTGTTTTGCAATTGATGACCCCGGGTTACGTGTGACCGCCTGATAACTGGGCGTGGGTTGCGTCATCGACTTCACTAACCACTTTGGAACGCGTTCGTCCATCCGCTATGATAATTGATGGTTGGTTTTGTCTACGTATGCTTCACCGCAGCTGCAGGTGAACTGGTATACAGTGTGTGAGACAAAACTGTATTGCTAACCATGTACACGTTTGTCCAAATCGATTCCGCGAGTAGAGGCAATAAGTCGAAATTGAGCAGCTGGGAATGTGCGGTTGAGAGCTGACTTTAACTTTTGGCGCATATCGTTCAGAAGGTGATCACCCTTAAAAGATAGTTTGATGTAAACGGTTTTCAAGGGAACAGATGGCAACGGGTTACCTTTTTGAGCTTGTTTACTATGGATATCAATGAATTTTTCGGGGTAATCGTTTCGTAGCAACATTTTCTTCAGAAATTCTTCTTCTCATAGTGTATCTTGGGAATAAATGCTTCTGGCTCGATGGAACGGAGTTTGTAAGCCGTGGACGAGACGCTAGAGAACTGTAGATATTGACCAATCCATGTTGCTTTTCTGCGGATAAAACGCCATAATGTACCATTTAAGCACCTCGTAATTCTAATTTCCAAAAATGACAAAGAATCGTTGCTTTCTTCTTCATGGGATACGGAAAGATATGGATGAACAGAGTTAATTTGTCTCAAAAGGCACTCAAAATGTTCATGCTCCGTAAGAATAAAAATATTGTCCACATAACGTGTATACAAGGTGGACTGGGAGATATTATTGACAAGATTTTGTTCAATCACTCCCAAAAATACATCGGCTAGAATTGGGCCTAATGAACTGCCCATGGTCCACTGTGCTATAATTGTGCTTGTTTGTTTGTTTTACGTCAGCAATCGAGAAGATCAAACGAAATGTTAACATCTCGAGACTTGTGTTTTCTTTCGGTCTTGATCCTTTGAAAATGTCAGTTCTGCGTTCGTTTTCTGTTCAAGCCAGGCCATTTGGCGCTCGGTCTGATAATTGTCAGGGAAAGCGGTTTCGTCAAATTTACAACTTTCTGTTAGATCGTTTACGCGACGGAGCACAGTCAACTTGACTCTAGCTGACGTCAACCGGTTTGGGTTGGTAAAATGGGACATCTCGGAACGTCAGTGGGGTTCAATCGGCATACTGAAGTGCAATATTTATTACAAGTCACTTTGTTATTCAAAATATAAACTGTCATTGTTGAGAAATTAATTGCACAAATATACAAAATGCTATGAAAAACAATAGTAGAGAGTATAACACACCGTCTTTAGAAATCAGAGATACGAAGTTGGCATCAATCTATGTACACCAAAATGAATATTCCCCTTGAATAGTTTTACCAGCAGCATCAAACGTAGATTCCAGTCTAGATGATGCTTTTGATTCGCGATTTTTCACTTGCACTTCGGTCTTGTTTATCTCCAAGTGCCATTTCTTTCTTATCATTATCTCAAGCTTCAAAGACCAGCGAAGTCCAGGAACCAGTGACGGATACGAGCTGGAAACCGACGTTTGAGTTTCGTCAATCGCAATCCTCCATTCAGACCGGAGTACAGCTTCAACGATCCTTATCAATGTCCTCCTCGTCCTCGTCGCCATCCTATTCCACCTCAAGCCAAGCTAGTTCGTCCGCAATCTCCCGTTCCCAATCCACCGGATCACTTCATCAAAACAAATCGACGAAAGGAGCAGCAAAATCTACCACAACAGGCTCCCATGATCAGCCCCGATCGAAAAGTCAATTAAGCACAAAAATCGAGGGTGGTCTTGCACAAAAGCCAAATAAAAATTTTGGGCGATGCTCCTGTAGTAGTGGGAGTAAAAGTCGTGGAAGCTCCAGTGATTCAAACGTTCCAAATAAAGCAAACGGTGGTACAGGAAGACAAGCTCAGCTGAAGCCCATTCCGGGGCAACATGCTCAGAAACCAAAGCAGCTACAGTCGAATGTCAACCAGCAAATTAATTCACAGGAGAAAAACAAGTCAGGATCAAAAAAGAACCAGTCCGCAAGCAGTGGTGGCCCTGGTGGAGGAAGCGGTGGACGAAGAAGTGGTAAAGCTGACATCGTTAGTAATAGCACAGAAGCTCACTTATCCAACGTGAGGAAAGTAACAAACGAGAAAACTGTAGATGAATTCACCAATAGGAACGTAAGACAGTCATCTCTGAAACAAACTGTCAGTAGTAGAACGAAGTTAAGCCAAACGGAAAGAAAATTTGATAAAACAACAATTGTATCGCGTTCCATCGGATCAAATCGATCTCACGAGTGGACCTCCACCTCTACATCGGATTCAACCGAGACAACAGAGACCTCATTCACCTCAACGGATTCCTCACTATTGAATGAGGATCTTCACGGTGGACGTCTACTATCGGCAGAATCCCTACGGGCACGACGTGCTGCCCGGGACCAAGATGAAACCACAGAATCCACCGAGTCAGACTTTGATTCCGGTCCGTCTCCGGTCCGTGGCTATCGACCGCAAGTCATGAATGGTCCGTGTAGGGTACAAGTTGCACCAATCAAAGCCAATGGTACCGTTATGCGATCCAATACACTTGAGGGTTTCTCCGGTTGTACCAAAATGGTCACCAAGTATCAGACTATGAGAAGAACCAACGTGATTGGCTATTCCACATGGGGATCCAAATATTCAGAAGAAGAGAAAAATAAACCAAATATCCCTCGTCGAACACTGTGGAGACAGGCAAATCAATGGCTGACGAAATGTCGAGTGGTGATTGTCACTCTGGCCCAGGTGTTACGTATTTTGAGCAATCGGACATGCGCCAAGGCACTTGCCGAGTATCCTTTTGTTCCGTTCAACATGATTGGTGAATAATGCTCAGCCATACATTCATTGTATAGGCTTACTTTGTTGCAGTATTACGTATGGTTTGCATGTTGGAGTCGGTTCAACGATCGCACGTTCATCCCGATGTGTTAGAATAAAGTAACCTAAAACATAGAGCCGGGGACAGCGTAATTGGATAGGATACAATAAAGCAAACTTAACAGGAGACAAATACCGTTCATGTTTTGAGAAGGTATCTGTAGTAATTGTAGTATTTGTAGTACACACTAAACACGAAGTACTAATCGTAGACGCCACGTAAGCACTAGACCACGCTGGTACTTGCACGCTATATCCCACGTAACCGAGAAGTGAGGAAAAGGCCGCTGGAGTAGTAGTTCGTTTACTGAAAGAAAAGAAGATAAAATAATATGTACAAAACAAGTTCATTGGTCATCTAGGACTCTGTCAATCGCGTTCTAAGATTTCTGGCGTCGTACGGCTTCTGTATGGGCCGCACGACTTCTGATTGGTCGGTACAATCGACCTATGGTTTGTAGTCCAGAAGCTGTGGCACGCAGACACCTTGTTGGCGTCAGTTGGGAAGCTTGATTGATCAAATTTGTCCGAAAACTGTAACTTGTCGCTCCGTAGTTTGCGTTATCCCGTAGGCTACGGTCACCACAGTGTCCTTGTCTGTAGAGTGCAGACCTTAGCAAATTTAATAAAGGCATTCGGATATGTATGCTTGTTTATATAGTCGGACCATAAAACATGCCATACATTGTCCATAGTGCATTACCTCCACACCAGTTAGTTGAACCAAACGCATGTTTTGAACCAGTTGCCCTTTGAAAGAATTATTTGTTGTTTGAGAGTAATGGAGGATTTCATTTGTTTATGTGACTAATTCGTCGAGTAAATGAGTCGTGAGCTGAAAAGCTGGGAAGCACTGGATAGCTGTTTCTGTATGGTTGTGAAAGTTTCCAACCGAATCAGAACCCTGAGATGAGCGAGCACCGATACTCCCAACAATCTCGCATAAACGGGTTGTGCTATATCGTGTAAATTCAAAATGATAAACGGTCTGATCAGCTGCCCGATGGCTTAGTGGGTAGTAGGCCTGCGTTCTACCTGTGCCGTGGTTCCGGGTTCGATCAGCAGTTAGGTCGATCAGATCACACTGCTGATGAGACCAAACCAGGTCGAAACAGCTGTCCAGTGCTTCCCAGATGTATTTGTCCAACCCAATTTCATTTCAGCCAGGTTTGAACAGGTCTGAAGGAACGAATTCAAATTTTGTTAACTCTATCATCCTCTGTCTCTGAGTGAATATCATAGAATACTATAGGAAGATAGTTCTCCAAGCTATCGGTGCGGACGGACAGTTTTGTAGCTTTTTTAAAGTATCTATTCCTTTTTAAATTGCACTGAAGACTTGGATTCGTAGCTTTTATTCTAAAAATGCAGAACGTCTTTAGGTCTGTCCGTTTTCATAGATAGCAGACACTGCTGATGCTCGTTTTGTATTCAGGCTATGGGTGTCACCCCTGGAGATGCTGTTTGTTCTCATTATGTAAAACGCATTTAACTTGCGACTGAACTAGCCCCCCCCCCGACAATCAACCTTTATCCTGCTGTTCTCGTTAGCTGGTAGTGCCCACGTTTGGCTTCTTTGCCAAGATTCGGGTGGGGTTGGGGGGAGGGAGGCGCAAATCTTCTTGGGTTAGGAAGCAAACACTTGTCCCTGAGCCACAACAACACCAATAAAGCTCCAATAAAGCTGGACACAGTAAAATACAAAACACATGTGACTGAGGACCGTTAATCGAGGAATAGAAAAGTCAAACTAGTTCACCTGATGAGCCCCGTTGCATTTCATTAACGATTGGAGTAATCGATTGACAAACTTGGGCATCAATACAAATCATTGACTTACGGAATTGTTAAATTCGAACGTAAAAAGTAGAATTAACCCGTCATAACTAGGCAGCATGTTGAGATTACAACAACAATAACAAAAACACTATTCCTTTTTTTCTGCGTTGTTTTCTATTTTCGTCAAGAGCTATTCATTAGAAATTTGTACCGCTGTTTCTCACACATGAGATAGATATACAGAATGAACTGAAGTAGAAATTGTGTTCGGTATCAGACCACGAGTTGTCTCACAGTAGCGAGCTTCAATTTACCGATTATTAGGCCAAGATCAGTCTACCGACGTGCGTTCGGATAAGATTTTTCATCTATTTAAGATCTAAACAAATATTACACTTGCGATTCAGTATGCTCAGAAATTTGGGTGCGTTTCAAAGTCTCATCACTGCAGCTCTCATATTCACATATTTGAACTTTATCATTACACACGTGTGCGATCAACAACACAGAGGATGAACCCCATCGTCTTGAAGACCTGCTATTCACTGATGGTAACCGGCAGCCTAAACCCCAGGGATTTGGAGTTATGCGTCAAATAGGGTCCCGCTAAGTTAGGAGTGGTTTTGAACCGGACGACAACAAAGCTGCCTACAATTAAAGTTGGGTGGTGGTGATGGGGTTCGAACCTCGAACCATAAGGTCCAAAGCAGACCGATGACAGTAACTAAGCCCCTGAGACACCACCACCACGTAACCATAGATCCAACAGTAACACAGCAAAACTCCAACATTAATTTTGAGGTTTAACGACCGCCTTTTGACATACGTCTGAAGACAACACTTACTGAATTTACATTTTCAAAGCATCATTACTTGTGAGTAATGGTATGGTATAGGCAATTTTCACAATTGAATGACCGTGTTTGAGGCCAAAATCTGACCAAATGTGAATTGGAAATTTCCGTCAGACCCGACGGGAGTTGTTTTGCGTCCCAAGTTCAAACCCCTTAAGAAACGGTAGATATGTACTACTGATGAACTCCAGTAAGAGCTAAACTCAAATCGTACAGTTTCTGTGTTCAAATGAACTGCGAATTATGTCAAGATGGAGTTCAAGAGTCAGTTGACAACAACGAATGTGTAGAACTCCGATGTTTTATGTACTGCCGATGCAAACATGTGTGTATACCAACCGTTCGATCGAACGACATTAGTTTTCGCTGTTGAACGGTTACTATGGACACAACCACTGAATCAGAAAACCCAAACCTCAAATCGTGAGGTGTCATGGTATACCGGAGCTTACCGTTAAAGGTGCTTCATTGTGAATGTGCGACTATCGAGCAAAACAGTTGATGAAAGTGGTAACAAACTAAGAAGAAAAATGATAATATAAGGTGTTAAAATGAGCTATCAAACAGAACACGATCGGGTCCGAATATCAGTCAAAAGGATAGGACGGAGTGCCGGAAGCGATTATGTGTCTATACGCACGGACGCACGGCCACCAGGGGACAGAGCGCATAGAACTCAGCTGAACAACTGTAGTAATAGTAGTAGTAGTAGTAGTAGTAGTAGTAGTAGTAGTAGTAGTAATAGTAGTAGTAGCAATAGGAATAACTGACTGGCAGTCACGGATATCACGTAAGCACTGGACCACACTGGCGCTGACACGCAATATCACACGTAACTGCGACTCGAGGAAAAGGCCACAGGAGTAGCAATTCATTTATTGGTGGAAATAAAGGGGACTAAATAATGTGTACAAAGTAGGCTCATTGGTTATCTGGGCTTCTACCAATCGTGTTCCAGTATTCCCGGCATTGTTCTGCTTCCGTCTGGGCCGCACGGTTTCTGATTGGCTGATACGATCTACCTATGGTACGTCCTCAGAAGGAAGGACACTTACGCATGCTGTTGACGTCCCCCATGAAGTTTGATTGATCGCATTTGTCCAAAACCTGTAACGCATTGCTCCAGGATACGCGTCATCTCGTAGGCCCGGATCATCACAACAACCCTCCAGAGACCAAGGTCAGAAAATTTGTAGTCTACGTGAACTATGGTGTTTTTCTTCGTGTGCGAAGGAGCTAGAAAAAGAGATAGAGTGAGTGAGAAAAAAGAATTCTGTCAGCAACTTAGGTTTATAAGTGCAAAGGTAACAAACAGTCACTCACTCTGTGGTCATCGCCGGTGTAGTGCATTTGAACTCAGGGCTGTAGGCAATGAGCAGGTACCGAAATCGGATATCCAGAACATCATCCCAGATGAAGATCAATACGTAATCAGCAGCACTTGTATTCACATTATCCATCATGGGCATTTTAAAAACTTAGTTTCCATTGACACTCATTCTAAGATAACCTGTTTCAAAATAAGTGATCTGTACATTGTAAAAGTTAACAAAGCAAATAAATTTGGTTGTTTGTAACTGAAGTTTTCTGAACTCACTTTCACCTGAACTGATAAATTAGTTTCCAAACGTTTCATCACCGGCCCATATGACACCACGCAACCCGTCTCCCCACGCCCCGCCGTGCGTGTAGCATGAACACATTCCACACATTTGTAATCACTCTTAACCCCCCCCCTCCCGTCGAAGGGGGTAGGAGGGAGACAGAAAGCCTTCCCACTTTCCGCTCGTGTTTCCTATTACTTTGTCAAATGCTATATACCACTATCAGATACGGCAAGCACCGGCTTATACTCTTGCACCCGGATCAACAAACTTGTAACTGGTCTACAAGACAAGTGAGTATTTCTTTGAGTCTGGCAGATCTCAGATAATCACGTAAGCATTTATCTGTTAGTTAAGACCCAAATGTTGTCACGCTTACTTTAAAACGCCGAATAGGTACGCTGTAAAAGGCATACAGGAAATTATGCATACATAAATACACGTATCATTATCTTTTTAATAAACGGAAGAAAAAATAAAGAAATAGTGTATATATGCATACACATATGTATGTACAGAAGGTGCATTCGTTAGACAATGCTCAGCGATAGATAGAAGAATTTTGCCCTCGGCTGTCTCAAATGTAATATGGCCTCAAAATTGCACAAAATTGAGGTCCAGACACCATATTGATCATTGCCATTTACATTGTAGAAACTGTCTGCATTGGCTATAATTGCGATCCCCCATCTGCTACGTCCGTTTTATAGTATCCGCATTTGTTCTTGCCGATAAAAATAAGCCCGGTACATGCCTTAAATCAACTGATCCTCTCATTAGTATGCGGATCGGATTCCCGACGAGTTACGTAACAAGAACCTGAATCTCAGTAGATACCACTTTTTTCTTTCAGTAAGTAGTTCTTTCATTTCGCCTGTTAGCAGATCTTGGAATTTGCTTGCAAACATTTCATCACCAACCGAAGTGACATCGTGAAGCGGCAGCGTTCTCTTTATATTAATATATATGTGGCGGTGCCGGCCAAGTGGTTGGGTCACCAACTTATGAACTGGAAGTCCCGGGTTCTAACCGCTCCACCATCTTCTTCTCCTTATCAGGCAGCCTTTGTATGGCCGCGTTCCCCTTCCTGAATGTTGACTGTAAATTGGATATTCAATATATAAAAGAGGAAGTAAAAGGACATATATATATATATATATATATATATATATATATATAATTCTCCATCAACTATTTTTGCCCCTTGTTCTCGCTGTGTTCGTGGAGGTGGAAGTGGATCGGGGTAGATGTAGGGGTGTCCTTTCGTCTTGCGATTTCAGTCCGTTCTCAAGTCACGAAGTAACCTGCGTAATTCAGTCCCTGAGTTGATCTTGATCCAATTCAATATACTTGTTTATTGAGTTGATTGAAGAGTGCCAAGCCTCGATAAATTCTCCGGCATGTTTTGACCGCGCTTGGTCGATAATTTTCACTGATTCAAAGTCAAACTGATGTCTTTCTTGATCTTCGTGCAGGGAAACTAATGATAATGGGTCACCTTTACTGACTACCAATTGATTTTTACGGAGCCTCATTAACAAGTCCTTTACAATTTGTTTGTTTGCAAGGAAATTGTTAAACTCGAGCTACGTGAACCGATTTTCAATACGTTGTCAAATAGTTCTTTTTCTGTCGATTCAGTTGAACATGATTGTTTTCTAAATCTCCTGTATGACGAATACTAGTGTTATGCGATAATGCAAATGGTCGCTTTCTGTTGACACTTTTCTTCGGTTACACAGCTGTTTCCTGTGAGCCACAGGATACAGTCATAAATGCACATACATGTGATTCATAATCGCATGCTTAAGGTGCTATTCACGTAAATCTATTTCAACTTCAAAGTAGTTCCCCGTGGTCTGTTTCAGTAAACATTGAGAAAAATTAACCGATGAGGCAAGGAATGCATTATTTGTGTGACTGATCTGTCACTGGGTGAGAGGAGAATAGGAATTTGGAATTAAACAACATGCTCCAGCAAACCTCGACGGTCATGTTCCCATAACTTTACAAAACAATTTCCCCACTTTTTCCCTCCTCAAAATTTGTGGTACAACTGTCAATGGGATTAGCACTGATAAGCTACAATGAGATAAATTTACTTTTAAATTATTCATCCAGTGAGTATTCGCCTCACTTATTGCTGATGAGCACATTCGTCAATTTGTTAATTGTAGTGTGCTATTACTTCTATCTTATCCTTCGGTTTCGTGCGTTGCCCGATTTTCACAGATTTTACGACTGACCGGATGTCAGCTCATTCCCGTGGATATCGAACTGTCGCTCGAACCTATCCCCGGATCACGAGTCCCGACGGCTGGCTCCTCCAACGCATTCCAGAGTGCACGACAGCAGCTTATCAGCAATTTGGGGATTGAACAAGCGTTGATTCAAGCATGCGGTCCGTATACTGGGTTAGTCTAACAATGTGAATCTCTCCTCGGTTTTGTCTGCTTCTCATCCTATTTTGCATTTTCCTCCTGTTCGCAGAGCGACTCGCTTTTATTTCAATATTTAATGTCAACGATCTTTTCAGGCGCTTCTCATTGCTCATTAATCTATCACAATGAAGTAAAACAAAACCAGAATCATATACTAATTTTGTGAGGCGCGAACAGTCATAGGCCAATTACTTTTACAATTGATTGATTGATTTTAACTTAACTTCCTTCAGACTTCACCTTCACGCACATTCCTCAGCTGTTCCAGTCAACCATAGACTCTGAAGCACTAGACTCGAAATTCCCCCTTATAAGAGCTCATCATCAATAGTGTATATCCACAGTCCCGTCCGGGCTTTGAACTCCGGACCTATCGCATGTAAGACATGCGTGTTACCAATCAATATCAATTATCCCGCAATACTACTCACAAGTAACTCCGAGTTAAATGTAAATTACTAACCCAACACAGTAAGTTTGCGGTCAGTTAGCCTGTACCCTGCATGAAAGACCTGATTTGGCGGCAGACTTTTGATTTCGGTCAACAGATAGTCAACTGTGTTTCCCTTCGTTGTTATCGGGCTAAAATTGACATACTATTACTGAAGACGATACCCGAACAAAATGAATTGGCAACTCTGTTCTGCCCTGACATGAGGGCTGTTTGGCACGGTGATAACACACGCCTTCCATGCCTGATGAGTCCGGAGTTCAAATACCGGACGGAACAGTGGATATGCAGTACTGCTGATGAGCTCTAATAAGAGCGAAACTCGAGTCTAGTGCTTCTGAGTGTATGGTTGATCTAAAGGGCTGAGGAAGGTGCATGAAGGTGAAGTCTGAAGGATGGCCAGTTGGAATCAATCAATGTCAGTTATCCCACAACAATAATCACAAGTAACTACGAGTTAAATGTGAACTACTTTTATGATTATTATTAGAAACTTCATGAGAAAAAGACTCATGTCAATATTTTGGTTTAGACTAGTGATTCAGATAAACTACTTTTTTTTTCGTCGTATCCGAGGTGTGACAAAATTGAAGCCATCGCGAGTTCGAAATCACGAGGCGACAAAATCCAAACGCTGCACGCTGCACCATTTACGCGACGAAGGCACACTGAAAAAGCTTTACCTATCACAATGAATCATTCTTTCAATCTAAAATAGGTAAATAGTTAGAATAACGAGAATCTATCCTCGTTATTGGGGGCAGTAAATCCCGCGAAATGCACACACATACACACACCGTGATACTTTCCGCCAAAGTACATGTGCCTGTATCCGTCCCTTAAATATAACTCAAGGTGCATTTGGCGTTGCAAAATACTCTAAGTCAATCCGAAAATGAAATTTAGTCTCTTCAACTGAGAGATGGTAAACACAGATATTGTGGCCAGTCGTAAGAAGCTCCTATTTCTGTCATCATGACGACATCACATTTATAACATTTATTATATCCTTCCAGCTTCCCCCAGGTTTTATAGTCAGATGTCGTTGTTTACAAAAACGGGTATTTTTCGTAGCAAACGCCATTACAGACTTGATAGCACCGTACATATAAATTGTGCAATCCCGAACGAAAAAACATTAGCCTCTTACCATGCGGCTCTCTGAAGGGCTGCTCCCGTTGGACTTCTCGAGACACTTAGCTATTAGTATAAAGAGATCGTATTACTGAAATAAACTTCTCGGGCACACCCTTCAAGGAAATGTAGCGCTAGAATTTAGAGCGATCAACTGAACCGAAAGCCGCTTTCAGAACGGACGACCTTAACTCGGCACTTAATTCTGTCCTGATAGCTGACATAAGAGTGCCTTGTCAAGTTCAGGTAAAA